TTTTCTATTTATATATTTAATTACTTTAGATTAATTTTATAAATTTAATTATACTTTTATATAATATATATATATATACTTGGCTTAAAACTGTCACAACACATTTTTCCATCACAAAAGAAAATAAAATAGAAACAGCAGCACAGGGAATTGATGAATTGTCTCAAAATTTGTTAACAAATAGGTTAAGCTTGTGGATGAATGAATGAAGTGAGTTGGGAAACAAAGTCCCTTAGTGACATTAGCAAGGTTGAGGCTGAAGTTTTAAATGCAAAAACGTGTACGTCGGACGTTCAGTGCCACTTTCCTGTAAGCCTAGAAGTTTGACAATAGTGTTTGGATAGTCAGTGGAATCATGTTTGACATTCCAAACACCATTGTCAAACTTCTAGGCTTACAGGAAAGTGGCGCTGAATGTCCTATGTACACGTTTTTGCGTTTAAAACTTTGACCTCAATCTCGCTATTATCATCTTAAACAAATTATAAAATTATAATTTGAAGATATTAGAATAAATTTTAGAATAATTATCGTAAAATTACAAATTATGAATATCTTAAAGTTGAACAATGACATCATAACAGAAGCAAAGGGGTGGATGGGAAATTGCTTTCTCTGCTTTCTAACTGTGACATGATCTTATGCTACTGATGGCCTTCTTCTCAGGTTGGATTCTGTAGATCTATAAAATATATTCTTAAAGTGTTTAAATAAGCCTAAAATGAATAGGTATACAGTAGAGTCTCGAAAACTCGGCACTCGATAACCCGGCAGTCGGGATAACTCGGCCACACCCTGGCAGGGGGGAAAACCCCTAGTTAGTTCTCATTATAGACAGCTTTATGCCTCTTAAAGTATTTTTCTGAGGTCTGTCTTATCCAGTAAATTACTGTATACTGTGTTGTATTCATTAATTTTCATTTTCATGTAGTAAAGGCTCTATGCCTTCATAAAGTACATACTTTTCTTTTGTTTAAGGGTATTTGGGCAGTTTATTCTCTGTTGTATTTTCAAGCAAACAATACATACAAGTACAGTACAGTATTTTCTAAGGAAACACTCATACTTATTCTTTTTTAATCCCATTCCCAATAACCCGGCATTTTCATAAACTCGGCTACCCTTTGGTCCACATTAGGCCGAGTTTTCGGGACTCTACTGTATTCACTTTTATAAGCCAACAACTACAGGGTTATATTGGGCTATTATATCATGATTATTTTCAATTAAGTACTAAATAATTTGCCACTAGAGGGAAGCATTAAGTGCCATCTCATATTAGATTTAATAATTATAATTAAATTAATTATTATTATTCAAAACATCTTCAGATAAGATTCAATATAAAAGTTCAACTGCAGAGCAAATTTATAAATTTGAAAATATTTGAATTCAAAATGAGCAGTTATTTATTGTGACATTCTTACAATGCCAGGCTGCAGTTTTTAATCACATTTTTAATTAATTTAATTTAAAATACCACCTCAAATTAGTAATGTAGTGTCTTGCTTCTGTACATCATACTTTTCTGTTAGCAACGAGTTGTGCTGGTCATCTATCTAACTCAGGTTGCCAAAGTGGTTTATATCAACCCCCAGGGGTCGATATAAACATTATTGGGGGAGTTGATGAAAAGACTAAAACTTACAAATTTTGAACCAAATATTGCTAATCTTGCTAAGGATTATCAAGCTTATCCATCTCATTGATTGTCAGTTACAAAAATTATTATTAACATATGTACAATAAATGTAAAAAATGTAAAATTAAAAGCTATATATTAAAATAGTAAGAGCTTTTTTTTTTGCTTGTAACACAAACTTTTTGGTGGGGGTCGATGTGAGGTTTCAAAAAGTTGTAGGGTGTCGACGATCAAAAAAGTTTGTCGACCCCTGGTGTAAATGAACTCAGTGCTAGTATTTTAAGGATAGATTCTCTGGTCAAAAATAAGTGTAAAATAAAAGGATTTTAGACTTATTTTTGACCATAGAAAATACTAGCACTGAGTTCATTTACACCGTGTATGTACAAAGAAAACATATGCATAGAATACAGTATAATTTTTCATTAATAATAACATTAAATAAGTTTTTCAAAAGTCTGTTTTAGTTTTGCAATATGGCCTGCCAAAGTATTGACAGTATATTTTGGCAGGAATTTGAAATACAGTGTCAAGTTTTTAACTTATTATTGACACCCTGTATAATGAAAAAATATTTGTAATAAAATGATAATAGATTAAATGCTGAAAATGACAAAAGGCATATGGATCATACTGATTTACGAATGATTCTAAATGAGTTATTTATTATTTATAGAAAATTAATGTAAATGATTGCATTGATGGAAGACCACCTATTCATTATGCTGCTGATTATGGGCAGACAGAAGTAGTTCGATATCTAGCTGAAAAGGGAGCAGATGTAAATGTAAGTAGTAACTTAATTACATAAATATATATAATATATATATTATTTATATGTATTGTTCATATTTTAAAAACTTTGCATCATTTGTATGTCCTTTGGAATTAGCATAAAGTTGCTATTGAGAACAAATCATACAGGAAATCTCCTAATTTATAGAAAATAAATATACTTTTTCCATCAAAAGAACAGATATGCATTTTGGGCTCTATGCCCCTCTTCAGGCTTCTTTTGCTTTTAATTCACTTCACTTTATCAGACTTCCTGATAAACATAGTGAAAGCTTTTACACCTTGGTTTTAAGGATTTTGTTTTTATTACCTTTATTAGTCAAATCTTTTATACATTTTAACCAAAATATTTTTATTTCTACAGTTTTAATTATTTTACCCCATGGTTTTAATAATTAGTTATTCCAGCTGTCACTATTATTATTTTTGGTTTTTACCAATATACATAATAAAATAAGGACTAAAGAGGGGCATAGAGCCTATATAATAAATTATATACTGTGTAGTATATATGTATATAATCTTTTCAGTTGTAAAAATCACATTTTAATTTAAATCTACATAGCAAACAGATTGAATGTGATACTTTAATTAAATGTAAACATTAATTAGTAATTCATCAAAAATAACCTATCAGAGTGGAAGCAATGAAAAAGAAAAATGAAACTGTTGTTAGGAACAGAATGGTGGACAAAGGTTGATTTAGGCAACGAGAGTTTGAATGGTGAGTTACAAAGGCAATTTGCTAGTCACTTCAAGAGGTAAGAAATGTATTCAGTATTCTTGCATTTATAATGTCATTTATGATCTAAGTGACAAATCACTATATCGATTTTATTGAGTAGGTGTAATGTTTCAAACATTTTTGATTTATTAAAAATTACTTTAGCCACCACAAAGTTGTTAAGAATCATAAATTATGCCATAAATGTGAGAAAATTGAATATCTTCCTACACTTTTAAAGTGGTTGGCAAATTGCCTTTGTAACACAATCTTTGAACTTTCACCAAATAAATGTTATTGTCTTAACCTTAAAACTGTTTCTTTTTCATTACTACTGTACTATGGTTCTTGTTGAACAAACGAATGAGTAACTTTGGAAAAGTTTATGGTTTCTTGGTACTGCAAGCTTAATTCCAACAATAACACAGAAGTTTAATATATATGGTGATTGAGAAGACTATGGTGATATTATTAATTTGGTTAAGTTGTCAAACATATTTTTCAGCTTTTTACAACCTCTGTCCTCCCCTATTCCTATTTGTAACCAGTCTTAATTTGATGCCTATGGTCAAAATTCATCTTCTGAAAGAGTATTTGAACTGATTCTTTGTTTTAGTTATAATTATGTACAAAATATTTTAATTCAGAATATTGAAAGTGGGACTTTGTGTTTTTGTAAGGACGCCATCGTCCATGACCCACATGGACAACGACGTCCACTATTTAAAGGTAAATATAATGGATACCCTATTTGAAGGGTCTGGAAATTGTAAAAATGTCCATTGGGTAGAGGTGTCTACTATTTTAAGTTTTACTGTATCTTATTTTTTTGAGTATACCCAATTTTACTGCAACTTATTTGTTACAAAATAAAATGCAAAAAACAAACATAATATTGCCACCACCAGAAAAATCTATTGTCAAGGCTAATGTAAATTTTGTATGTACAAGCCTTAACGGTGGCTTCTGATGAGTCAAAGTGTATCATAAGATCATCACTTATGTAACTCTATCACCCTATGTTTTAATATAAGTGTATATCTTAGGCTATATGTTCTAGCTTCATGTGTGAATAATGTTTTCGGTTTATGCAATGTTTACTAACCAGAAGAAAAATAATATTGTCAGAATATGACATTATATATATTACTCACTAATATTTTAAATATGACTTTTTTAGGCAAAAGATAAACATGGCATCAGTGCTCTGTTGGCTGCTATTTGGGAAGGTCATACTGAATGTGTTCGTTTCATGCTAGAAAAAGTAAGTCTAGGTTCAAATCATCTTTTAATATTAAATGTGATCTTTAGTAAAAACAAACTTTTTTCTGTTAGGGAGCAAGCAAAAAGGGAACAACACCAGATGGAATGACTTACATTGAAGCAGCTGAAAAACAGGAAATCAAAGAATTGCTCAAATAAATGGTGTGAAAAAGTGTTGGAGAGTGCAACATGCAGTAAATATGCCTAATTAACTGTTTGAGGATGAGTCAAAAATTAAAACTTTGGTCTTCAAATGTATAATGTATTTTGTGAGAAATGTTAACTGAAGTGCAGTTATGAGTAAGAAGAAATATTTATGATTTCGCTGAAGTGATTGCTAATTTTTTATGGAGCTAGATGTAGAAATCTTCCTACAATTCCTCCAAAGTTACTATGTTATATATATATATATATATATAATATATATATATATATATTTAGGAATCATAAGAGGTATTTGTGCCTTATGCAATATGAGATGTTCTATGTTAATTCAAATTTTTGTTGGTTGCTGTTTTTCCTTTTTAATGGTGGATACAAATTCAAAATACTGTTGTGTCAAAAGTGTTGACAGATAATTCAAATTTTATCCATTCTTGCATATATTTGATTCAAATTTTTCTTAGATAACTTGAAAATATTTTCATCCCACTGTATTAATTAGTTCAGATTATCTATTGAATTAATAAAAGATAAATTTTCTGATGTTTGTCGTTTGAGAAATAGTCATTAATATCATAAATTAGTATAAATTTAATATACTTTAAAAATGAGATAAAATTAGGTAACACAACATATAATCATCACTATTACAGTTAACTATTAATAGTATAAAAAATAGTATATGTAACAATGGGAAGCTTATTTTTTTAAAAAAAATAATAAAATTTATTAAATTAAAACTCGTCATGAGTGGCAGTTAAAGCTTCACCAAAATCTGTGGCCTGACTTCCTACAAAGACATCATATTTTTCCAAGATCTCCTCCTTTGTAAGTTTTCCATCCTGAAAAATTCAGACATTTAAACAATTTTTTGAACATTCCATTTACTTTATAACTGATCTACTTACTTTATTTATGTCAGATTCATATATTAGATGCCTCGCTTCTGCTTCGCTATGATTATAATCAGGTGGAAGTATCCACTGTCTTATTTCTTCCCTGTCTAAGTATCCATCCTTGTCTTTATCCCTGTAATTGGTGAACTGCTCACGTTCATTTTTCACCCAATCAGGCTCGTCATCTGGATTTTCTGCTCCACCAAACATATCACCTTTAATTTAAAATGAAAAAATGAGAATTAACATCCTTTATTCATAATCTTTCTTAAAATAAGTTTTATTTAAATTGCACTTACATAATAAAATACTGTTGTTATATTATATTAAAAATGTATTCAGTACAAATAAATCACTGATGCTATGCACTGACAGTAAAGCCTAGTTCCACATGAGAAAAACTAATGCAGAACCTTAAACAGGAAGTGTTTTGCTTGTTAAGCAGGGAAATTTCGAAGAAAAAACAAAGTTTTCTGTAAGTTAGAATTGCTTTCTGTCTGTTTCCCAGTGCAAAAAAATTCTATTTATGAATCAGTTGATTTCTGAAAAAGTAGAATAAATTTCCTTTATCTGCAAAATTCCTTTTGCAGATAAAGGAAATGTCCAAACAAATATGATGACAATGATCATGTTCATTTGGAATGGATGATGTCATTCTAATGGTACCAATAATAGATTTTAAAGTCTAAGACAGCGTTTCTCAAAGTGGGCGATAATGCCCCCTTGTGGGCGCTGGAGGCTTTCAGGGGGGCAGTAGAAGGCTCAAAGAGAATTGGGGGGCGTTAAGGAAATATAGAGGGGCGACGGCAGAAATTCTATATATAAAAATTTGACGGAATATATATAAAATGTTGACATTTTATATATTTTTTATTTTTTATTGAAGGTCACAACTTGAATATTTCTAACACATTGACTTTTATTTTAGCTCAGCGTTTCTCAAAGTAAGCAATAACGCCCCCTTCTGGCGCGATGAATAGATCTATGATAGAGGCAGGGTATTGAACGGTGACCAAAGGCAAAATTGGGGCTGATAAGAGGAAACATTGCGTTTAATGGTTTCCAGATGATGAGAACAATGTACAGTAAGGGCACAAAGTGTGAGATTCATAGAAAAGTTTTCGTAAGAATATTTCCAATCCTTTTCTCACACAAGAGAAAATGGGTTAGGGGGCGTTGGGTATAACTTTATGGAACAAAGGGGGCGGTGGATCGAAAAAGTTTGAGAATCACTGAAGATGATCAATAGCAAATTATTCACCAATTATATCTTGATTTCGTCTCCTTTATTGTTGGATATCTAAAAGTCAAATTTGCATTTATCTCAAAAGATTTCTAATATAGTGGCATGCTTATATTTTGCTGTGTCTACTATGTTGATCCAATGATATTACAACCATTCTCATTTTGTTCCTGCATTTAATAATAGAAAAGTTAACCTTTCCATAACATAAGTTAACTGGACTTTCCATAGTGCAGAAAGACAATTTTTTTAAATTTTGGTATTTTCTGCAAGTGAGAACAGGACTACAATTTTCAAGTAGTTTCATCCCTTATTACTTTGCTGTGTTTAATTCACTAGATTAATTAACTGGGCAATTATGAAGATCAGCTGGATGGAATATCTATTCAAAATTCCTGGGGAGAACCCTTAAATTTTGATTAGCTTAATTTAATTTAATTTAAAAATCATAAAGGTAAGTATCTAATAAAACTTTTTATTAAATGATAGTTGTGTTCATCATCATCATGTTTGTTTGGAAATGTTAATAAGTAAACCTGACTGAATATCATTGTTTTTGAATGATATCCAGTTTCACAAAATGGTTACATAACAATGTTACAGATCCAAAATATAATGCATCACTTCAATTGATATAAAGTATACTCCATGAAACAATATATCTGATGGATATTAAGGTTGTGTTTTCTAGTAAAGCTGCTGGAAGGCACTTTAAGTAATTTCCATGTTTGTAGGAACCACTTCTACCTCAGCTGCTCAGCATTGTTGCTTAGTTCTTTGTATATATTTTGTGAATACAAATGTTTAGTAGAAACAATGCAGAATTGTCGGCAAGACTATAAAATCACACAACTTTGTCATATTGCAATAGAATTGAGGTTGAGCCAAAAAAGAAGGGAGAGATCCCTACACCTATTAGGCACAGAAGAGGTGATCCTTGTACAGTACTTGACAGAAGCAGGCAAGTGAACTTTGCACTTACCACCACAAAAGAGTCTATCCTCATACCTGTAGCCACAGGAGATACAAGCCACAGGAGACACTGGCCAGGTACAGAGAGAGATGATCCAAGAACAAAATAATTGATGGCAATTGTTTTGTTCTTGGATCATCTCTTGTGTTTTGTTCTATTTTTCATTAGGTGCACATAATACTGTTTTTATTTTTTACCCCTAGATCTAAATTCCATTTCATGAACAAGACCTGAGAGCATAGACATTGTCACTGTAATACCTTTATATATCGAAAATGAAGTTATGAACTCCTATTTTTACTTTCCTGGCTCTGCCATACTTTCCCTCTGTTATCTATAACAATCAGTCAAAAAATGATCCCCTCTAGATTTTTACATTTTTGGACTTAGGAGACCTTGAAATGTCAAGAAATGCAAAAACAATCAGAGTTTTTTCCTGTATGTATGGATATTAATGTGTGTTTGTGTGTGGCATGATTTTGTTTACCCTATTTGAAGCTTAATAACACCTGTGCTTTTGAAAATTTTGCAAGGTTTGTGTATAAGAAAGATTCATACTATTAAATTTTGGTGGTTTAAAGTCAATAGGGTGGGAAGACCTTAAACCACCAAATATTACTATTTGATTAATATGCAAGGTATTTGTATTGAATCAAACAAATAAGTTTAAAATAATTTCATTCAACAATAGTAATTTGAATTATGAGTAAAAAATTGTTTAAAATTGAGAATCAAAGTTTAAATAACAACAAACTGAATTTTGACTTTATGCAAATAAAATCAGTGGGAGTTATAGAAACTGATTTTATTTTTTTTTTTTTAATTTAGTGTTTTTTTGTAAGTGAATTGAACAAACTAAAATATTATATAAATTTTTCAACACCTTATTTCTTTCATGCAATTTAATTTGCTTTTCATGTATTTTCATTTTGATAATTAACATTTTTGGAGGAAATAAAATAAATTTTCTTCATTTCAACTGATCTGTTTTCTTTTTCTAACTTTTATAGAAGAGAATATTCTCCTTTCCTATCTTATTTGAACATGACTAATTGGTTTGTGTGTTTCTATTTCTCCTTGATTTGGAGTAATTTCTCTACTATCAACAGAAATAATAGAAGGTGGTTCAACAATGGAATCTTTTCTGTAAATTTCTTGAAAATATTCCATTTTTTGTACTTCTACCTGATTTCTTGTTATTGTCTTATCTTTTTGTAATAAATTCCTCCCTTTTTATCAATTGTCAGGTTTGTGAAATAATATCCAATGCTATTTATGATTAAAAAGAAATAGAAAAACCTTAATACAGTAGAATCTCGAAAACTCGGCCTAATGTGGACCGAAGGGTGGCCGAGTTTGTGAAAATGCCGGGTTATTGGGAATGGGGTTAAAAAAATAAGTATGAGTGTTTCCTCAGAAAATACTGTATTGTATTTGTATGTATTGCTTACTTGAGAATACAACAGAGAATGAACTGCCCAAACACCCTTAAACAAAGGAAAAGTACGTCCTTTATGAAGGCATAGAGCCTTTACTACATGAAAATGAAAATTAATGAATACACTGTGCAGTAATTTACCTGATAAGACAGACCTCAGAAAAATACTTTATGAGGCATAAAGCTGTCTATAATGAAAATTAATTAACTAAGGATTTTTTTGCCCTGCCAGGTTGTGGCCGAGTTATCCAGACTGCTGAGTTTTCGAGACTACTGTAATAAATATAAAGCAAAGTATTTTTCATTATTATATGAATTTCTATTCCAGGTAAAACTGAAATAAAAATGTTTTAAAAGTAATTCAAAATATATACATATATGAAAATATTCCAAAGATTTTAATTTCAATCAAATATAATGAATTTCTAAATTGTAATAAATTATATTGAACAATTTAAAATAGTTTACTATAAATGAACTATGTAAAAATCTAGCATGATTTATACACTAGTAAGAACCAACACTCTGGCAGAAAAATTAAGTATTTTTAGTTTGGTAAGATTTATATTCATTTATCTGTTTTATTTTTAATTTACAATAAAATTATATCAAAACTAAGTTTATAATTACATAAATAAACAATCATTTTTTCTAAGTTTTATACTTGTTGAAGATTATGAAGATTAAATTTATTTTATGAAACTTTATGAAGATATAAATTACATGAATTGCAAATGTAAAATATTTGTATTCTCCTTAAATGAAAAAAAGGAATAAAAATTATTCCACAGATTTTATTTTCATAGTAATTTATGCAGAATTAATGGGCTCTTTTCTTGGTCAACTTCATTTTGACTCATCAATTGAATGATTTGTCTGAAAATATTAAAATACTGATTGATATTTATCTTTCTTTCTAAAATTCATATTTACATAAAAATTAATTAATAACTAACAGTAATGTATGTAATATATATAAATTTTTACATGTTAAACAATGTTACATTAAACATTTACAATTAAACAGAATGTTAAAATAGTACTTAGATAGATTAAATTTAGACAGATACATACCTTCTTCAACTCTGTTACATTCTTCTTGACTAAAGATGTAAACATCCACATCTAGCCTCACTAATTTTGTTACAGCTCTTCTGAACCTCACTGCACTAATGCTACAAATAGTGAACATATAAAGTGGAAATAGCTTAACTGTCTTTTGACAAAGCAGCTTTACTAGGAAACATGTCCTAAATTGTGATAAGCACTTTTAATTTTGTAACATTAAAATAATATTTTGATATTTCTCTTTGACTAAATTGTTCTTGTGTTATTAGAATTTCAACTATTTTACACTAACACAGTATTAATATTTTAGACAAAATGTTCTGTAAAGAGTAATTTGTATTTATAGAATACAAGATCAAATTTTTCTATTTGAATTTACATGGAATTGATGTGATAAATGGATTGAATAAGACTTGTACTACATTAGGAACTCTGTTCCTGTCAATGGTCCTTTGCTTTTTATGAACAAAGCCATTGTTGAGGTAATTTTGTATACATTTCAAAAAAAAAAAAATTCTGAAAAATGGCTGCTGTTGGAGATTCAACTGTAATTATTTATATTAATAAGAATTAATACCTACCTATATATTCTTCTAAGGAAATTTTTCCATCTTTATCCTTATCAATGTCTTCTAATGTTTCAGTTAAAACTATATCATGCATGTGTGGGGCTTCCTCTGGATGTAAGAAATCTCCAAATTCTTCTTTATCCAATGCTTCATCTCCATTTTTGTCAGCAAGTTTCCATCGCCTTTTATCTCTCTTTATCATTTCTTTGTACGATATTGCATTTTCATCTTGTGGATCATCATCCGTTTCTGTACAAAATTTTATCATCATTTCATTGGTTGTACATAATTATCTCTTAAACACTTATTTTTATTTCCATCAAAGTTTAATAATTAAATTAATATTGGAATTGTTTTTGATTTAATAAAAGTTATTTAATCAATCAAAAATTGCAGTAAGAAGATAATTTATATTTTGATATCAAATTTGTTCATCAATACACAACCCAAATAAAAGAAAAATTGAACAAGTCTTGTAATTAAGGTATTTAGGGTAACAATAATAAAGAATAAGATTTAGAAATCTACAGAATATCAGGAGGCTTAACAATATATTTTGGATTTAGATTTTGCCATATATATAAATGAATCTACAAGACAGTAGAATGATTTATTTTAATATATGACTCAAACTATGCTGAAATAGCTAGAATTTATCAAAATAATTCCTGAAATAATAAATAAAACTAGAGGAGAGAAAAGAACAAAATATAAAATACAACTTTATTACTATTTTAAGTTTAAGCAGTTTAGAAGCTATATTGAAGAACAGGACTGGCTGAGATTATTAATCAGTTTGGTTTGATGCCAGATAAACAGTGGCACTACTATTTATAGCTGTCTAATAAAGCAATTTGTTTATGATATTTGTTGATTTGGAAAAAGTTTTACAATTATTAAGGAATTAATGTAGGATGTTCTCAGGAAAAACTAAATACTGTACTCCTCTTTATCATACTTTAATAGTGTATAGGGATGCTGTAATAAATATTAAGACAGAACAGGATGTTACAAAAAACAGGTAAGAAAGACATTAAAAATAGTTGTTTGAAATATAAAAACTTCAGCATTTATAAATTTTTTTAAAGAAATAAAGTAAACATAGATCCATAACAGAAAACTAAACCTATATATGTATTGTACATAGATTTCCATTTGTCTAAGTTGCAAAATCTGTCATACATACATGTTATAGATAAAACTAATTCTGAATCTATATTCTGTCAATCAAACAAGTTTAACATTGCATTATAGCAACTCTTTGAGAATAGTTACATATTTATTAAATACTGTACTTTAATTACTTTCATGTTTACAGTTGTTTCAGGCAAAAATGATTCCTATTCCAGAAGATAACAATAGCAGGTGTATCCAGTTTCATTACAGTAACTTCTATTTATCTTGTAAAAATTTTAATTGGAAAATTATTTTTTATTGTAGTTATTTAGGATTAAAAAAAACAAAGTATTTTATGCATAGACAATCAACATGATTAATTTACAATAATTCTTTGTTTTTATTATTCCTGAATGTTTACTATAAATGAACTATGTAAAAATCTAGCATGATTTATACACTAGTAAGAACCAACACTCTGGCAGAAAAATTAAGATCATACAGGAAATCTCCTAATTTATAGAAAATAAATATACTTTTTCCATCAAAAGAACAGATATGCATTTTGGGCTCTATGCCCCTCTTCAGGCTTNATAGACAATCAACATGATTAATTTACAATAATTCTTTGTTTTTATTATTCCTGAATATTCTTATAAATATTTAACTTGAGGCTGTAGCTATGGTAGGGATGGCTCAGAGAAATTGTGGGAAAGTCTTACTGGGAGTCTGGGGGTTACAGAATACCCCAGAGAAAGAGGATTTGGGGGACCAGCACCAGAAAATTTTTGAAATATAAAATAATAGCAAGCCCTCAACCCTTTCTGCATATTGACCTCCTTTAGAGAAATGTTTTTCCACTGATCCCCAATTATACATATATTAGACATACATACATATAAAAAATAATGTTGAAAATATTTTCACTAGTATTCTCAAGAATTTTTAATTATTTTCTAAATACAATCATTTAAACAATATTAAAAATTATATACGCATGTACAATAAGTATGTACTATGCTCATCAGCCTGACAAGAGTCAATACCAACATNAATTAATCTTTACGTTACAAAATTCTTGCATCATATCATAAAAACAGAAGTCCAGACTGCTTTTTTTCAGATAGTAATCATATTATGTACGGTACCTCAAACGAAAAGATTTGGCTACTTTGCACCCAACTAGCCCATTTTGCTGCACAAAAACTTATTTGATGACTTAACTACATTTTTTGGCTACATAAATTATTTTCTTATTTGTTTTGGCCTAGAATGGCAAGCCTACTCGTGTCACCACACACAAATACAAATAGTCATACAAATAGTTTTAGAGTTAGTTTGTGGCCAAGACAACTTTTTTCTTCAAATATGAACCAAAGAAGCTAAGGTTGGACACCCTTGACTTAAAGGATTGTGAAGACAGTGTTTATTGTACAAAAATCTTTAATGAATTTTTAACACTTAAATTTTGAAAATTTATCTAAAATGTATAAATAATTTTGTCGTTTTGAACAATGGACAGGAGAGGCTCAAAATATTCTAAAAATGGCTGAGACACTCTTCCTCTCTAGTTAGAAGTCTGATTTAACTAATGAAAACAAACACAATCCACATTACAACTTAAAGGAATTCAACGCAGACAATATCATGCACAGTTTGCACCATATACATGCTAATTTATAATAATAATAATAAAAAATGAAATCTTATATACATACCAGAAAGTTCTTCTGTCATGCCACTTGAACACACATACTACAGTTTGCAATCTGACTTAGAAGCATTAAAGATTGACTTGAGAGTAATAATTTGAAAAATTAATAAGAACAAAGAAAGATTAATAAATTCAAATATTCAGGATTATATTTATAGGCATGTAGCAAGTTAGAGTTAGAAATGAATAAATAAATACAAGATGGCAAAAATGAAAACAGACTTGATTTTTTGTGTTTTGATAGTGCTCTGATTAATTATAAAATTTTCCTAAGCTGTTTTGACATATACATTACAGAAAATATTGAGAAATAAAGAACAGATAGATTAAGGAAAGAAGATATAGATAGCTGAGACAAAAAACTTAGTGGATGAATGGAATAAGACTGAAAGATATGAATAATTTCATTTATGTATAATGGAGATTTAGGAGATAGTCATCTAAGTCTATTTTCTCTCAATATAAGTCATATTGTAAGAAGATACAAAATTAATAGAGAGAGTTAAGAATTTACATCTACCATAGGTTTTAAGAATGATAAAAGTAGACTAAAGAATTCTTGGTAACTATTGATTATTATTAGGATTAACTAACTAATAGTGGGACAAATTGAAAGGCTAGAAAAATAGCATTGGACCTCATTTAGTTGGGATAAGAGGAGAATGGCTATGTAGTGGAATAGTAGGGAGTGGCTGGCAGATGGTAGAGAGGATGATTGTTTTAAAAAGCCAAAATAAATGAAGAAAATTATATAATTTAGACAAAATTTAATATTCTAATAAATAAGTACTTATGGGCTAGAGATGTACTTAAAGTTTTTACAAAAATACCCTAAGTCAGTAAAAATGAAAAAGTTTGAAATAATTCCACAGAACTGTACTTTATATTATATTTATTAAAACAAAGTTAATTTCTTAAAATTATATATTAAAATGAATTCTTACCATCTAAGTTACCATAAGTGATATTTTTATAATCTTCCCAAGTTAACATTTCCTTATCATCAGGGTTGTGAGCTTTCCACTGTCTCTCGACATCATTCCTTATATAACGCTTTTGTGTATACTGAATCCATTCATCCAACTCTTTCTGTGTAACAAACTGGTCCTAAAGTTTCCAAAAACAATTAAAAACTGTTAAAAAATCAGTTTTAAATAAAAATGTATCCATTTTTTACATTAGTATTTCTAATTTTTCTTTTTGTGATATGCAACTGAGAATGTCAGAAAACTTATTATTTAAGAATGAAAGAATAAATTTAGATAGGATACAGTAATACCTAGACTTACGCAATTTTCAAATCTCGTCGATTCGTCTTTTGTTTGAGCACCACACAACTCTTGATTACTCATTCCCCTCACACTATTGTTCAGCTTACATGTTCGGACGTGTTGCGCAGAATCAATGCATAGCTACAATTTATTTTGTGTTATTTATTTTTGTGTTTGTTATATCTATGGAGACTTGAGAGACTATGTGGTGATTTCTTGTAACCGTGAATGAATCAAAAGGCGAGATAAGATTAATGAGAACATTAGCTTACACACATCCAACTTGGATTTTACACAAATTGCGAAATTATACCCCGATTTATGCGAATTTGACTTACGCGGTTATTGCTCGGTCCCACCTATTGCGTAAGTTTGGGGTATTACTGTACTTATGAAAAAAAATTTTACTTTGTAATTTGCCACTGTGATATCCACAACTATTCACATTACACAATGTTTTCATTATGGCATATATCTGAATTAGCAAATACTTAAAATTTTGAAAATTTAAATGCCCAATTAATTATTAAATTCAGAATTTACCAATATACAAAAACTAAAAACAGTAAAGTAGAAAAAATAACAGTGAAACTATAAAAACAGCACATCTCTGAATCTTAAAAAAATTCCAGGATATTTTAATGCAAACACAAACGTTTTTGATCTGCACAGATCATCTTCAGGTTAAAATGTTTTCAAATGGAATGTGGAAATAGAACATTCTTAAGATTATTTGAAAAAACATACAAATAAGAATCTTTTAAATTTTTAAAGCAAGTTTTAAATTGACTGTTTCTGTTGGTATAAAGATTGCCAGGCATAAGATAATTGCCCTTCTTCCTTGAAATTAATGCAATGGCCCCTCTTTTCTGATTTGATCAACAGTGAAACTAACTTATATAAGTCCTTAGATACATATTTAAAAATCCAGTTATTTCAATATGAGCTTTCATAATTTGATGATAAACAAGACATTTCAATATATGCATTAAACTATTTTAATTTTGTTTCTGAATTAAATTTAAATCTGATTCAAAAATAAAATTAAAACAGTTTAATCCAACTTAATGTAAACAATTTTATTAATAATAAGCAATTATGTTATTGTGACATCGTCACAATGCAGGGCTGAAATTTTTAATCACATTTCATTTTTAATTTTTTTAATTTAAAATATATGCTCTCCACCTCAATTAGTAGTGGCTTTCTCCTGTACATAATACTTTTCCTATTAGTAATAGTCGTGCCAGTCATCTAACTAATTCCTTTCAGGGAAAAGTTTTGAATTGAAATAACATGACTTCTGGTGCAAACCAGATATTCAAATATAGTTAATCAGGACCTCCTGCTTCTAAGCTTTCCATACCTGGTTGTGATTTTCATCTATCTAACTCCATTCTCGAGATTAGGGAAAGACAGACAGACAAATGACAGTGGAAATTTATAGGTTAACTTTTTCAAATCGCAGCACAATTTGTGTATAACAAATATGACAAGGTGGCTAAAGGCATCAGCCTATGCTCTGGAATTTTTCATGAGTGGTAAATCTTGATAGGCTGGGCCATCACCACCTGGCTGCTCCATGGTGGGGCTGGTTAAATCCACAATGGGAATGAAAAAGGCCCTATTAGTCCACAGAGTAGAAAGAGAAAAAATTAAAAATTTATAAAAAAAATATCTTGACAAGCAACATATAAGCCATTTACAGGCCAAATCAATTAACTCCACTTGTAAATCCTTAATATAATCGTTATTATTTTCAAATTTTTCACATAACAAAATTTATGTATTGTTATAATTAATTAAAGCTATGTTTCAATATAACAATGTATTATATTCTGCAATGTTTATTTAAATTGAAAGTTTAAAAGGAATTTTAAAAACTAATTTATATTCTCAATTTTTATACTTTTTGTTTTGTGGATTAATCAATTTGGCAAGTGAGTGGCTCATATATTAATTCATTTGTTTAATTTTTTTATGTAAATAAGTGTACTCTTACTTCCAAATGCCACTTAATCCAAACCAATTTTATTTATTTTCCACCAAATGTTCTAGCAAAAAGATTACAATTACTTGTTTTTTAAAAATAAGGAAAATTTATAAAATTAATATGTAATACAGTAAAACTTGTCCAAAATGGAACCTGAATAAAACAGAAAATTGGAAAAAATTCTTTGAAACAGTTTGGAACATTTTGCAAATTGGATCTCTTTTTTGTAAATACATGATTTCTGATAACAGTTTATCAGATGCAAGAAAGGTGTTGATAATATTTTGAACATAAGCCTCAATCTCTTCAGTCAGTTCTTCATTTTCCTATTCAGGTATGGGACTATAGGATAATACTGCTTTCCCAATTTGTACACAATGACATACTTATATTTCATTATTTGTAACTTCATTTGCTGCAGTCAAGGAGTAAGATTGTCCAAAGCCCTCAATGTGAAAATTGATATCAGTGGTTTTTGGTCCATTTTTGTCCATTAGTCCTACAATTCCAGGACCCATTGGTATTGTTTCGTGTGTTCTTTTCTGAAATATTTCAGGCACAGACTTGATTTCAAATGGCAACAATTTAAACCTAGACTTTCCAAAAGGGTGTTATAAATGTTGTCAGAACAGATGATTTTGAATCCAATGCAATAATTATCAATGCTAATCTGCATTAGCATTGATAATGCTACAAAGTTTTGCATTATGGCTGTGTCTGTGTAGTCAACTGACACCATTGGAAATTATTCTCTTTCAAATGTTCTCATTCAAATTAGATAATCAACAAATACTTATTTGGCCTGACTTCTTCAGAACCAAAATCATTTGAACCCACAATTCTAAGTTCATCTACTGCCTCAATTACTGCTTTATTTGCCATATCACCCAAAGTTTTCTTAAGATTATCTGTTAAGGGCAATAGTATCTTTTGAGGAACTGCCAGGGCATAAGGCTTTGCTTCCAGTTTAAGTTTAATCTGGTATGGTTTCTGTACTTTCCCAATTTCATGAAATACTGAATTTTTTAAAGCTGGTAATCCCGAAAATAGATTGGGAAATTCTTTAAATGGATTGAAAGCAGAGTTTAGTTCATGTATTCTCTTAACAAGATTTAACTGTTCACTCGCTTTACAACTCAACAAGAAATTTAAGGATAACATATATTCCTTTTTGGATGTGGAATCTCTTGTTTCTTAGCTTGGTGGTTCCCAACCTTTTCTACAGTATGCCTCCCCAATCGGGGTTTGTGTGCAATGTTGCCTCTCCAGCATATGCATAAGTGTTTATTGCTTTGTATTTTGTATTTATTTGCTTTTTTAAAAATTATTGGTAAAGTTGGATTGAAAATATGAAGCAAAAATACAATTGCAGTACTAAAAATACAAATATTCCTACCTACAGCACTTTGTACAAATAAAATGGGTAATATCTCTACAATAGTGTACATCCAGGAAGTTATTCCTTCTGAATAAAGTTATAATAATGTAACGTAAAAAAAGCGTTTTCCATATTTTCACAAACCGTAAACATCAATGTGAAATTTTAGCTTGTTTTGAATTGCACAAAATCATTGATGTTTGGTATTAACTCTGTCAGTCCTGTGTGCAGGTCATTTTACTGCCAGAGCTACAGCTTTCACTTGAGTTACAAGGCCACTTATTCTTCCCTGCCATAGCTGCAATGCCATTGGTGCATAAACTATACAATAAATTCAAATCAAGCCTTTAGCACAGACAAATTCATTAAGTAAGCTAATATGTCTTCACCTGAAGTTGTTGTTGGGATCACTTTACGAAACAGTAACTCAGGTCACTCTGGAAAATTTTAAAATATGCCACCATTTTGCCAGTTTTAAATTTTTTGCCACTTCAAATTATTTATCATCACCAGTTTTACTTACTAATTAATGCAGGTCCCAGTAGCATTATCAGTTTAGCATCTGGAAGGCAAAACTTGTAAACTGCCATTTACAAGGAAAGAGCCAGATGTTTGGGTCTCCAATTTGAACAGAACTTTGGTGAACACAGTCTTAAACACAAATGACTCCTTGTCCAAATAGTAAGACCCACTTTCAAGCATTTCCAAAAAAAGGAGCCTCTGAAAATTTAGTGTTTAGCTTATGACTCTAGAAGTTTCATACCCAAGAGATGGACAAGTGAATAAGACACTAAGCACTGGAGCTATATGATGTAGGTTTGGAGATTTGGTTTGGTTTAGTTAATTTTATGTGTTATTATTTTACAACATTATTATTATTCCTCAAGTTTAAACCTCATAAAACAAGAGATTAAAAATTATGATGTTATTTCCTGTTTATGGAAAACAAGTCTCTACATTTAACTCTTAGGTTATTAATTAAATAAAATCTTCTCTATATTTATTTTTAGATATGGTAGTATTGTGACATTTGATGTGTAACAAACATGAGCGCATGAGGAAATTAATACCCATAATATTAACAATTAAAAAAGTAAGATGCTGCAACTTGCTATCCTATTTTATATCACTTATCTTTTTTGTCCATATGCAGTAACATCTGAAGCTTATTGATTTGTAAGGACATAGTATGTAAAATATGAAAATAAATGAAATAAAAGTTTTATTTAATGACTTATAAGAGAAATCTATAGAGGTTTCTTTTCATTAACAAGAAATAATGTCACAATTTTTAATCTCTTGTTTTATATGGTTTAAACATGAGGAATAATAATATAGTAGCCCCTCACTATATTGCACTTGTCAGGAGACAAAGAAAAAGCACAATATAACAGAGTACTAGAAATTCTGGACTTATATTAATTAAACAATTATATCTGTTATGGAATCTCTATCCTCTATTCTTTCATCAGCATGTGTATCTGATATAAAATAAGCTTAGTTTTGCAGTACTGAATTTTATTCGTAGTTATATCGTATTAATTGACATTTATGTAAACATCATACATGAACGACCATTTAACATTATTGTTTTGTTAACATTTAAAGACGAATACTGTTGATATAAAAACAAAATATCAGTTGCAATTTTATTATACAGTACTATATTTCACAACAAATCACTTATTAAAAATTCATGTAATTTATATTTTTCAATAAAAATTATAAATACAGTAATTTAAATGTCTAAGTTGCAAAATCTGTCATACATACATGTTATAGATAAAACTAATTCTGAATCTATATTCTGTCAATCAAACAAGTTTAACATTGCACTATAGCAACTCTTTGAGAATAGTTACATATTTATTAAATACTGTACTTTAATTACTTTCATGTTTACAGTTGTTTCAGGCAAAAATGATTCCTATNATTTCACAATAAATCACTGTTTAAAAATTCATGCTATTTATGTTTTTCAATAAAAATTATAAATGCTGTAATTGAAAATTTTAAAAAATAAATATTGAACATATAATAAAACATCAAAACTTACAAAATTACAGTCAAAATTCTCTAAAAAGCAAAATAAAGTTACTACTGTATAATAATTTTAGAATTTTCTGTTCAGAAATAAAGCAATCTTTTCTTTACACATTACATAGCCAATTGGAAATTTCACACTTTATGTGAATTAACCCAATACCATCAATTTGTTTCAAATTCACCAAAACTTGTAAATGAGGAGAAAGTACTCAAAACCAATAAACAAACAACTTTTAATATCAAAAGAAAACATATTTGATAATTGATCTGTCCATCTGTTTTGCTTATTTAGATCATGACAAATTTATTGTTTCACCTACAGGGGTAGTTTCAAGGCCAATGATATGAATAAAATACTGTATTTCATTGCAAAAAGAAATTCAGTGCCAATTGATATTTTAAAATTTATTGATTGTAGTGCTTTCAAAATTTGGAGACAAAAAAAAAGCATGATATATCTGAATCTGCAACATAACAAGAGGCTACTGTGATAATAATAATGCTATTGATGCAGTAAAGCAATAATTTTGCACAAAATTAACCAAACTAAATCAAAACTCCAAAGGTTTGAACCTACATCATCTAGCTCCAGTGCTTAGCGTCTTATTTGCTTGGCTACCTGAAGACGTGAAACTTCCAAACACTAATAAGCTAAACACTAAATTTTCAGAGGCCCAATTTTTTGACAGAAGTGGATCCTATTATTTGGATGACAAACTGTTTGTATTTAGGGCTACGTGCTCATCAAGTTTCATTCGAATCAAAGACCTGAAAGTCTGGTTCCCCCTTCCTAGCAATAGGAATCTACTTTTTTTGCATTTGTTGTATACCGTCTTATGTGCAGGACAATTTAGCTTTAGCCTACACAATTTTGTTTCATAGGTTTTCCAAACCAATAACAGGAATCTGAGGTTTTGTTTCTGGTATATGAACTGTTGATAGCTTCCAGGTTTGAAAATACATTTAGGAGCAATGTATTTTCACAGCCAATCTTGCTTAATACATATATATTATTCCCAGAATTCTTAACAGCTTCCTGCTGTTTTTTCACTGTTTCAGTCGGTTTAACAGTTAGTTCCATTTCTAGTTGCAAATGTTCTGAGACTTTTTTCTCTGATGCTGCAAACTATTCTGTCTCTAATCATTTCTTGAAACAAAGCAGGGAAATTGCATGTTTTAACAAAACTATATAATGAGGTAACAAAATTCTCCAATGTTTCTCTTTCTTAAAACTGAGAATAGAATTTATATCTTTTTTACATAATGTTCTTATTTGGGACAAAGTATTTTTCATATGCTGCTTTAACTTCAGAATAGTCATTTCTATCCTCATCAAGGAGACTAAATGATGCCAAAATTTCCTTGGCTTTCTGGCCCATTAAGTATATTAAAGAATTTACCTGGTCATCATCATCTTTATTATGGAGTCTAGGCTATTCAAAATCATTGAAAATGCTCTATCCAGACTCTGTAATTTTTTGGATAAAAATTAAACACTTCTGGCACTGGGATCTGATCCATTATCCTCTATGATGCCACCATGTATTATTGATGTTCAGATTGTATCTCTTTATTGAACATAAATTAAACAACTCATCATCTCCCAGCTCCTAGCACCCTCTCAAGTCCTCCTTTCTCCCACCACAATTGTTCAAACCATGCTGCCACATTGGTTCAGACACAGTTAAATTTAATGTTTAGTTACATCTTGAATAACAACATATATTTCAATTGCTGTTTCAAAAAGGCTTGCATGTTTCAAAAAGGCTTGTGATTTATAATTCTTAATTTTTTTCTTGTCTTTATAATTGTAGTTTTTACTTGTTTTATTTTGTTTTGTTGTACTTTCTTTGTTGCATTTTATGTATTTTAATTGGGGTTTTACTGTTAATTAGGGACAGGAAATTATTGTTGCCTGACTTCCTATTGTAATTGAAAATAAATAAATATATGATAATTAAATAATATGTTCATAATAAATATGGGATAAAAAGTAAACTGACATTATTGAAATTACATTAAATTTCATTTCAAAACAATATACTTTTGTCCACTCTAAAAATTTATGTTTATAATATTTATAAGACAAAAGACATGCATTTAAAAAAAAAAACACATAAGCATACCTTATCTTTATCAATTTGGTCAACAATTTTACTCAATCTTTCCTTGCTTTCTTCAGGACTTAAATTATCAAATGATTTAGCTTCGTCTTCTCCCAAAAATGCTTCGTGATCATAAACAGTATTGTGTTCATCATTGTCTCCATAATGTTTCTCATTGCTTAATGGCTAAAAGAAAAATATAGTTATTGTGTTGTATCATTTCATTATTCTAATTCAATTTAATATTTAATAAGATAAAAATAAATGTAAATGACATCTTATCAATTACAACAATGAAAACACAAGTTTATTTCAATAATTTACAAGTTATAAAAATCCTTTTAAGTTACAATGCTTATAATAAAAAGCAATTAAAACTTTAAGTAATATATTAAAATAGTAAAAGTAAAATCAATTAAAAACAAACTCACATCTCTAGTTTTCTTTCCTTCTTCTGGTTTAGGAATTGCTACTATTAAACTAAAAATACAAAATGCTAAACAAATCCTGATTATTTGTCCAGCCATCTACAGAAAATAAAATCATTCAAAATCAAGCATAACAGCAGTATATATAACTTTTGATTATTATTATTATTATTATTATTATTATTATTATTATTATGCTATTACATCCTATTCAGTTAATACTGACACCAAAGCAAAGTAAAAAAAAAAGCTACATGAAAAACTGTTATTTTTGTTTATGTGCTCTTTTGTATTTCATGTATTTATCTATTTTTAACACGTTCATGGCATTACGAGGCACATGTGACTTGTATGGACATGTCTAGTTAGGGCTGCTGACATAATTTCTTGTTTTTCCGTGGGGTGGTGCATATGTTTTGATAACATAATTCTACAAACATCATACTTGATATATTGATATTATTTTATTAGGTGCAATAAAATATATTAATTTAATACGGGTGGCTTATGCCGCCCTGTATTAAAATAAACTATGAGTCACCGTGATTCGTAACACCCAGCAGCTGCCTAAATGTTTATCTACTAAAGCTGTGAACGTGTTAAGAATTTCCCGACAGTGGCATGTGATATATGTTCTGCTGTGAAGCTGTAATGTTTCTAGACTTTTATGTAGTGTATGTGGTAAAATGCCTGTGCAAGAAAGGACTATTGGCACAATAAGTACTTATCCATTCTCCACAGATATTCAAAACTCATAAGTTTTTCAGTACATATATTTTCTATAGTAGAAGTTAGGAATAACATTGTCTATGGCGTATGTGATTTTGTTTTGTTGTTATGATAGATTGTTTTGTCTGCAATTGCGGTTTGGTCACAGTGTATTTTCCACATGTTTTCTATCAGCATTTGTTTATAGTTATAATGTGGTTGTTGGGCTTGTAATAGTTTGTGTTTACATGCAAGCTTTCGATGTATTTAGTTGCTGTTGGTTTTGTTGATGTATGTAATTAGTTTGTGTTAAAATCTCAGAATCCAACTAATGTGTTGTATAGTTTTTGTGTGTGACAGCATTTCCTAAATCTGTCATATTCAAGTATGTCTTCTGTGATAGATAGATGTAGATCAGTGTTGTGTATGTTTAATAATGTATTGCTTTTGAAAGAGTTACAGCTTTGTGTAATTGTATTTTTCTTGTTTTTTTGTAGAAACAAGACTTGTAGAAAAACTCGTATGCCTGTATTTGTTTGTACGGAAGATTTAGTATACACTCTCCCCTCATTTTGTCACTCTCATAAATGCCACTTCCTCAATTCTGTCACTGCCCTCAATTGTCTCACTTAATACATAAAACAATCAAAAATCACTGGAGTAATAAAATCCTGTTCTATTTTTACATTAAGTAATATTATATCATACTATATTAGTAGATAAAGCACTTGTTAATTAAATGAAGGATCACAATTTAACCCTTTCCACAATTCATGCCAAGTCCATAGAGGAAGTTAAGGAAGTTAACAGGTGATCCTTTTGAGGAATAGAATGTAACTCCACCTGAGACCTATTGTGACCTACTAACACACTGCTTCTTTGTAAAGTGTTGGTTTCAGTTTTGGTGAGGACACACATTTTACTTTTAATAGATATACAGATTTTCTTAAATTGATGTAGTCTTATCATTAATATATGTTTTTGGAACCATTGTATTTAACAGTGTATATCTATTTCGCTTCACTCTTTTATATAGTAATGTGTCAGAAATGAGTTTTTAAACTTTATTTTAAAATTTAGAAACATTAGTTATATTTTCTATGATATATGAACAACATATGTAACTGTGATGTAAAGCTGTGATGTTTTATTTTAAAAATAAAACTATAAATACTTTGTGTTGGTACAAAGATATTTGATTTTGTCAACAAAGTTTGATAGTCCCAAATAGGTAACAAAAATGAGATTTTATTAGAGAGTCAGCCTTTCTATTTAAGTGGTATGTTTTAAGCTCTGTTAATGTTGTTTGTGTTTTCTTTTAGTCTACTACATGCATAACTCCAAATGAATATTTAAGTATTAGGAAAACATATGCATGCTGCTTATGTGTACTGCTTTAAATGTGTGTTTTGTATTCAACTGTATTGTTGGACTGCAATTAGAAAAAATTGTAGACCTATAAATTCCCACTGTCGTCCATCTGTGTCTGTCCTTTCTTAATCTCAAGAATGAGTTAGGTAGATGTACGCTAAAACCAGATATGGAAAGATTAGGGGTAGGAGGCCCCAATTAACTATACACAAACTTCTGATGCAAACCGGAAGTCATGTTATTTCAATTAAAAAATTTTCCTATGAAGGAGTTAGATAGCAATTGTCATGCCGATCCTCTAACAGGAAAAGTATGATATACAGGAGCAAAACATCTACTAGTTTGAGATGATAAACATATATTCGAGATTAAATAAATTAAAACATATGATTAAATGTTGCAGCTAGCATTGTGATGATGTCACAATAAATAATTGCTCATTAGTATTGAGTTCTTTTATTAGTCTGTGTTTTATTTGTATATGTTCTGTGAGTTTGGCTTGTTGGAATTCTAAATATTTGTAGATCTAGCTTTCATCCATGGATTCAATGATTTCTCCATTTCTATGTGCAAAATTATCTATTTTTAGGATTCTTTTTTTAATGTAAAGTGCTTTGCATTTGTCTAATCCCAGCTTTTTACTACATCCTTTTTCACTGTTCTGTGAGAAGGTATTGTTCTATGTTATAGTACATTTTGTTTGTCATTCTGTATAGTGCAGGAAAGTGTATGATTGATCCGTATTATATAGGGTTTCTGATGTTCTCCTCTTGAAATTTTTTACCAGAAATGATAAGTGACAGAATTATTGAGTTCTACATAAGTCAGAAAGTGCTTTTTATCTGTGATTGGTTGTTTGGTTTGGTTTATTTGGTTATGGCAATGCAACACCTGGGGAATCTGTCAATGGAGGATGCCTCCTGGGAAGACTTATCTAAATAGGAGCCAGTTTTGCATATTACAAACATGAAGCAAATGCGTGAAACTTCCCTTGGTCAGTCTTTTGGTGAGGTGCAAACCCTGAACTACCAGTGTTCAGTGGTTTTATCCAGTTTGTCTGTGAAGTTTAAAGTAATTGCATGACCAGTAAACATGGTTTTTTGCAAATATGTACAACTTGGCAAGCCAATGTTGTGAGAAAGTCAGAATTTTGGAATATGATCTATGAGTTGAGATGTTTGAGGTTTTGTCATTCAATCCTACTGATCCTTAAAATACCAACATTAAGCAGGCACGCACACAAACAGTAACAAAAGAACTTTATTAAAATAAGATCAGAGCTGTCGTGTACATCCTCAGGCTACATCCGGGCAACTCCACAAACTTTTTTCCTTTATTCTTGTTACCAGGCAACAACTCATTTTTAAGTGTTGCCAGACCGTGTTCACTATCTCTGGCACTGGCGGCCACAAGGTCAAAGTCTAACATGTAAATTCTAAGGGGTGATTGCAAGTTGGTCATGTGCTACATGTCAATTGAGTTTTCAATTGTTGTCAATTTACATTGATCTCTATAATGGGTGTTTAACTGCACAGCCTATGGCCACATGTGTCAGTTTTAACTAGTTTCTGGAGTAGATAGGCCATTGGCTATACATATGGGAGTTTTAAACATTCCTTGATTTTTTGTTGGTAATTACATTGGATATGCACGTCCTCCCTAGAATCTGTCTGTTTTAAACTCCTTTAAATAAAAAGTTAGAAGTATGTCACCACATTTGTATTTTTGTGTAAAGATGAAACAGAAAAAAACCCATACCACAGAGCCCAGTTTTGTTTTTTGCTATAAAATACCTAGTACAGTCTGACCAATTCAAGAAGGCACTACTATTAGTAAAGTACTCCCATTGGACTACTTTACTAATCATGCACAGGGGTGAGATAAAGCATGAGTCAGCTGGCATCCAGTTGACATACCTTATGGGTAAAGGGGTTAACTATGCTGACCAGTCACATGATGCACTTTACCTCTACCAATGGTCAGTAAACTAGTCCATCACCTAAGTGCCTTCCTGGATTGGTCGGACTATATATATAACTAGTGAGATGGCAAAGACTGTTAAGGTGCTAACTTTCTATTCTAAGGATCTTGAGATCAAATCAAACAGTTGAAGTGTTCCTAGCAATTTTTCATGAGTTTATGTTCCTGGATATATTGGACCCTATCCCTCACCACCCAGTCATTCTCATTGTTTTGATAACATAATTCTACAAACATCATACTTGATATATTGATATTATTTTATTAGGTGCAATAAAATATATTAATTTAATACGGGTGGCTTATGCCGCCCTGTATTAAAATAAACTATGAGTCACCGTGATTCGTAACACCCAGCAGCTGCCTAAATGTTTATCTACTAAAGCTGTGAACGTGTTAAGAATTTCCCGACAGTGGCATGTGATATATGTTCTGCTGTGAAGCTGTAATGTTTCTAGACTTTTATGTAGTGTATGTGGTAAAATGCCTGTGCAAGAAAGGACTATTGGCACAATAAGTACTTATCCATTCTCCACAGATATTCAAAACTCATAAGTTTTTCAGTACATATATTTTCTATAGTAGAAGTTAGGAATAACATTGTCTATGGCGTATGTGATTTTGTTTTGTTGTTATGATAGATTGTTTTGTCTGCAATTGCGGTTTGGTCACAGTGTATTTTCCACATGTTTTCTATCAGCATTTGTTTATAGTTATAATGTGGTTGTTGGGCTTGTAATAGTTTGTGTTTACATGCAAGCTTTCGATGTATTTAGTTGCTGTTGGTTTTGTTGATGTATGTAATTAGTTTGTGTTAAAATCTCAGAATCCAACTGATGTGTTGTATAGTTTTTGTGTGTGACAGCATTTCCTAAATCTGTCATATTCAAGTATGTCTT